AATGAAATCCACAACAGTTGGTCTAAGCCACGTAGGAAGGTGTAGACTTCCAGGCTGGGGTCCTCGGGACGGTAAAAATCTATGGTTGGAAACAATTGGTGACATGGCTCAAAATCGTTCTCAGTGGCGCAGATGCATCCACTCCTTGTGACTTATGATCTCCAATGAAACTGTTTTGTTTTTCTTTATTACTCCTTTGTCTCACACCTCTGCTCACTGTTTCTATTATGCTTTTCTTGTACTTTCTTCTCTTGCTTCGCGTGCTACACGGAATGTGGCGACTTGAACTTCCGCACATTTGTGCAAAGTTCTATGTCGAAAACAGACAGACAGACAGAGTTCTACATCAAGAAAGGGAATTTAGGATTCGTTTCCCATTTGAAGAATGGATTTTATTGTTGATTGGCAGTTGCTGAACACTTCTAACAAGTGATTGAGGTCATAAGCATTGTCACAATTGATGAAAATGTCGTCCACGTACCTTGTACACAGTTGAAAATTATCAATACTCGACTTTAAAATAAACCGTTCTCGAGGCTTGTCATGAAATACCGTGCTAGTAATGGACTGAATGGAGATCCCATTGCAGTCCCATCGTTTGATCTGTGAATGGGTAGATTAAATCGTACATTAAGAGTACATTTCAGCAGTAGTCCTTTCAAATACGATGTTGGTATTCCAGTGTTTAACTAGTTTTTATCTGTATATTCGCATATAAAACAGACAGTTTCCTTAAGTGAGACACTGGTGATTCAATGTCAATGGGTAGTATGCTTTTGTTAGTAATGTTTACTTCTTGTATGCAATTGATCAAGTGAAAAATACTACAAAGCAGGTATATGCATGCATGTTTCCGTAGAAATTCTAAAATATCAGATAACCATTTTGTGACAATAATTATGACCTCAATCAGTTGTTAAGGGTATTCATCAATTGCCAATCAACAATAAAATCCATTCTTCAAATGGGAAACGAATCCAAAATTCCCTTTCTTGATGTAGAACCAGGAAGAAGACCTGACGGTACCTTAAGATCAATACATAGGAAATCCACATGGGACAGTCAACTGGCAGGTTTCTACAGTAAAACGGACTATCTCGTCTTGTATTTTTACTGACTCTGAGGTATTAGCTAGAGATTATTAGCGTCTCTATGATTACTAGTTCAGGTGAATGTTGTTTGTGAAATCTTTAATAATTTTACGGGCTATTAGAAGTTTGTTGGCTTTCGAAAGTGTGTGGGCTGTTATTATTTCCCGGTTGCCCACACTGTAGAAGTTGGGTAATTTCTCTTGGAGTATCTGAAACAGAAAAAAGCTTTAGTATTGCATGACCTCACATTCAAGGGGACAATTTCCTGAGGCCAGTCACATGCGGCCAGTTTGAATTGATTTTTGGAGTTATGTCTATATTAAAATCTTACCACCAGCTATTCACCGCCTCAAGGTAAGTCAGCGTGTTTAATTCTTGGGGTCGACCTTTTCGAATTCTCCAAAGCCAATAGGCAGCACAACTGGCCTACTGGTTATCTGATAGGAACACTTTATTGCTGTAATATCCCTATCCGCCATCAGTACGACTTCTCCCGTAGACTCCCCAACTTATTGCAAATAAGACACTATGACGGTAACTGTTTGTAGTCATACGGCTGTCCAAGTAACCTTTCTGGCGTGGTGGGATCTGTGAGAACATTAATTCCAGCCAGTGGGGCTGTAAGCTGGACGACCACGTCTAGGTAACAGTCATCGGTTGGATTGAGGACTATTAAGTAGTGTGTTAAGATTTTCGAATATCATATATGAGAAAAGCCTCCAAAGCCTCAGGATGGTCGGGGGTGGGTGCCTGCGGGTTGGTCACCCCTCCGCACACCTCTTGAAATGCTCCCATATGACCGGGCGTCTTACATAGCCTCTCCTGAGGAAGTCCTACTCACTGCCTTCACGTGGCGGAGGTGTTTCTCACCAAAGTAAGAGGGCGAAAGCGGATGCCCGGCGCTCTCCACCGGGTTGACTGTCCATTGGATGACGGTCTAGGGGAGGTGGCTAAACCCTGGTTCCAAACCTCCAACGACTGGCGTATGAAGCTCACTGGAGCTCACTGGCAGACGTATGGACAAAGGGCTTGTTGGATGTCCTGGATGTCTGGCCCCATTCAGAAAGGCGTATGAACCGAACTCCGGTCACCGGCTGCCAATGGATAGTGGACTCCTTACTCCACTCCTACTGCCTTGTAGGTCACACTTGGCTGTGTAAAGGCTAGAGCTGCACTCTCAAACAAAAGGCCGAGCGATGCTGGGGACATCACTCGTACCAAATTCCCATGAAACTTCATGAACTCTCTTACAAATTGCCGCGCCTGGGCAGCGATGATTCGAGACGTTCATGGAGCCGGCTCATCCTCCCGTAGGAGATAGCCGAAGTAAAGTAAAGTAAGTATATATGAGAAAACAGATAGATTTTTCATATAGCTTAAATAACTATATTTTGTTATTTGTATTTTTATATATTTTTTTATTACAGCTTAATATCTCTCCTGAAGAGTAGTACATACAACTTTAAAATTGGAAGTCACGGATTTCAGTTGGTGCATTTGTTGATACATGCACATTATACAATAATATACTTATTGTCATGAAAACCTCGCTTTACATTTGTACACACTTGAATTTCGTGAGTATAAACACACTAGTAGTTGTGCCGTATCATTGCTACGATTGTAGAACGTTCGGTGACGATATTCTGCTTGTTTCTTAGACCTTCTGCTTCAGCTACAAAAAAAGTAAAATTATTTTAATACAACTTGTTCTTTGAATATACCTTTTTTACTTTTTGATGTTCAGAAAACAGTTAATTATAAGGACACATAATGCGCTAAAAGTTCAAGATTAATTAATAATAACAATCAAAAAGAAATACTTGATGAAGCCTTGAGTAAACAAAAAGTTCAGAGAAGACGTTACCTTTGGTGTCTTTATTTCTTACAGCTATACAATCACAGTTGTCTTTTCCCAATTTATTGTAAGCCCTAACAGCAAGTCATAAATTTTAGATGGAGTGACAAATTGTCAAGTTATTTGGAAATTATAAGTTTAAACGCAATCCAAAGAAATCACTATGGTGATGAGAATTATTTATAAGGACTACAGAAACCAGGTGAATTGTAATAGCTTTAGGGAGAGTCTGCAAAATATGTCACTTCTATCTTCAAGATAAGGTATGTTGAAGGAAGCCATTTAACTTAAGTGATGACAATACTTGGTTACTGAAAATTAGGAATGAAATTTAGAAGTAAAAACGTGGGGTCTTCCTACCTTTATGATGTTTTAAACACCTTAAGTAAGTGTTTTTTAATAATAAGTACTTATATATCCATTTAGCATCCCTCAGAGAGGATGGGTATTAAAGGAAGCGAATTCCTGTTTATTTCCAAGCCGAAATGGTGTAGTGTAATGTCGTTGTTCTATTATTTTGGATGTGACTGTGAATAAACGGTAGGGAGATATCAAAAGTTGTACTGTTTATTTCCACAGTAGTGGAAACTGACTGAATTTTGCACGGATTTCTCCACAGATGCTCAGCACTTCAAGTTGCCGCACTCCATATAGCACCCGAAAGTAGATAGAAAAAGAGATTCAATAGTACTGTAATGAGCAGAAATGTACAGGGAAAAGAGCATGATGGTCTAATAGGTATATAAAATCACAAAGAGTGATTGCATTTTGTGTTATTGAGGACGATTTTGAGCCTTACCACCAGTAGTCTACAACTGTAAATTTTTAGCATCCCGATGAATCTGACTAGATGGTCTATACCATCCTAGATGACTCAAACAAACTGTCAAAGACTTAATGGGCTGATGTTTAGTTTTGGTTTAACCACTCCAAACTGTTCTCCAGCTTAATCCTATACTAGCTAACATTGCTTGTCGAGGAAGGCGGAGGGTCGGCACACAGTGGAAATGCCGTCTAACATCTGCTTGTGCTTATGGGACATTTATCATAATAAAAGACAAAATGTGTTCTCATGCACTGTTGGTGTTTGGCTTTACTGCGGTTTTACTACCATGACAGTGGTTATTTATTTACTTTTTGGCGATTAAATGCATTTCGCCAGCGTATTATACACTTTAATGGTTTCTAGGTCAATTAATTGAGACTTGTCAGCAGCTTTTTAAAAATGTGCTTCAGATTATAACAGAATAATTCTATCTGAAAAAAACCCAGTGATACCATACTACTTACTTAATATTTTTCTACTTCAGTTTATCGCTCATAATCATATCATACTGAGCTCATATAAATCTCAGATTTTATTTGTATAGTTTCATTATTTCTTATCCTTTAATTTTATCAGTAGTTATATTTGTAAAATATAAATATTCGTAAGCAGTGGAGATTGTAAGTTAGTGAGCTACCTTCTCCAAAAACTTAAAAATTTCATAAACATGAAAAGTGGAGCTTTCATTGTTATGGCCAAAGTTGCACTAAACTTATTAGTTTTAATTAAAGATACTTATTTGTGCGCTGGTAGTATAACGGTTAGGACGCTCGCCGACCACTCACGTGGTCCGGGGTTCGATCCTCGGCCACCGACACACTCCTTTACCTCGCTAAGCCAGTAGTGAGATTGGTAAAGAGGAAAGGCTGGGCATGACGCTAGCAACCCCATCCTGTAAAAATAAACACTGCTACAGAAACTTTAAGCCATTAGCTTAAAGCCCTATGTTCCACTGGGAACGTGAAGAAAAAAAAGAATGACAATATAAGGTTTCAGGAAACTTAATGCACCATTTGTATATAATTGTCCGTGGTAAATACACCAAACAAGCAGCTAAAAGGACGTTAAAAAGACTAAGTGAAAAAGACATATCATTCAACTACCAGTGAATGTGAAGGAAAAAAGATACTTATTTGATTATCTGTTGGAAATTTTGTGTCGAAAAATAAATTATCTACTTTATTTTTTTTGGAAACAATTGAATTTATGCAACACTTCAACGTACGACTACGACTCCACTTTAGAGCACTTTCTTCATCAGGCCATTCTGTCATAATTAAATAATCAATTTCTTTTATTCCCCGACGAACTTCAACGTCTGAAGTTGAACAAACAAATGGTACTCCTCCAAAACTTGTAACTAATTCTCCATAATTAGGTAAATATTGATGCTTGAATTCATCTTCGTTAGTAATTTTCAGCAAACTCAACTGTAAGTATTTCCATGCTATAAAAAACATAAAAAGTATGCGTAATGTTTGTAATTTCTGTCGAGAAATTGTAATCCAGCTATTTCTGCATCCTTAAAAAGTTAAATGTATCATATTGGTGGGCTTTTAGTGAATCTAAAAGTGGTTTTAATCAACTGAGACTACCAATCAGGTAAAATCAAGAAGTTAACGAAGGAATATAATTCGACATTTCTCAGATCACGCAGTCATTATCCACCGGGGATGGTATTAAAACATTTAGGCTCACTGACTTCCCCGGATATTCCCTAGCTATAGATCGAAGGAAATATGGTTTTTATGTTCTCAATTTATCAATAGTCCCAAACATGTCGATCAAACTTTTAAATACATTAAAAATAAAGTGATTAGCGATAAGCATACAGATGACTATAGTCAAAATGAGGGTTTTTTTAGCGACTTCGACGTATATCGCGGAAGTAGTTTCTGGTCAATTAGTCATTGATTGATTATGAGGTACCAGGTAGCACGTGAAAATGAAAAAATCGAGAAAACTACACAGTTTCCATTAGGAGAGAAAATACAATCCATACAGTATGTGACAATAGGTTCATTAAACCAAGTGGATAAGTACTCTGTTGATATAACGTCCATCTGTGTTTGTGAATTCACGTAAACTGCAAGGACTGGAAACAAGTTTCCGAAAAAATTGTAAGAAACCTTTGCGTAGTAGGAAGCCTATGCAAACATAGCAGTCACCTAGTAGATACATGAAACGTCTTATTGGTATTACTAAGTTATTTTTTTAGTGTATATAGCATTCTAGGATAACTACACTTAAGAGAAGGTTTTCTGCTCGATTACGAATACGCGAATATTCTCTAACTCCCAGCGCAACTGTATTTGATTCTGTTCGAGTTAATTGCCTAACTCTTCCTTGGTTTCTCTTGTATGAGCGCCAGTTTACTCACTTAGTGTTTTGTCCTAAATTAGTCATAGATCTTCCGTTCTGTCTTTCTTCTTTTCATTTACTCATATTTCTTGGACTTTCAGTTTGATAATTACTGTTAACTGACGGTAATTTGAGCTAGAAATAATCTGAGTTTTCTATTATCTTGTGTACAATATATTTTGTGTCATAATGTAAACATTTGAAAACATGTCTTTTTAACTGTCTTGTAGTTCTAGACAGTTGACGAGGACCTGCAAACTAATACTAAGTTGTTTTACAGTACAAAATCGGTCTTTTTATGCTTTTCCAAAATTTTTCCAAAAGGTTTTCGATGATACTAGTACATTTTGGCATTGTGACAATAAACAGTACGTCGAAATATCTCTTTAAAACTATGAGAATAACGTCACCAACTATGCATAATGTTAACTAAACCCAGGTAATTTGTCCTATACAACCACTTAACTACGAACCTCATTAGTCTAAGTACTCGATTTTCAGTTAGAAGATCCTGGGCTCATAGACTGCTCCACCGACTTCGACCTTGGTAACTAGGCAGCAGTGTAGTACATCTTCCAGTGGAATAAGGTTTGTTTTAACAAGCATACATCTGAATAAGCTCGAACTCCATTGTGTTTATAACATGCACAGTCTCTGGACCCGCAGTTCAGTTATACTAGCCAGACAGGTTCCAGTTTTAAATATATTGCTCACCAGGGAACATTACTAATTTACTGAATCTTTTTGATTTGTGTTTTGTTATCAGTACTTACAAGTCAGGCAGAGTACTGATTACCAGGGTAATTAGGCTAATTACCTTTAGTAAGGCTGATACAGTGTAAGTAATCAATAGTAATACCAGTACACTTACAGCATCATCAGCCCTTACACAATAAATGTGACTCACAGATGGATACATGTTTCATCTCTCCCAGTTAACTGAGTAATAACTAATAGCTTTACTATAAATGATGTATTTTTCACAGTTGCAGCTTAAAGTAGTTGTTTTGTCCAGTGAATCTTTTATCTTGGTGTGCGTTAATCAAATTCAGAGTTGCTAGCCATTATCGAAATGATATCTGTGTAAAGTCAAGGAAACTTATCTTCGTGTAAAAATGTGTTCATTATTGTAGTCATAAACAGTAATTTGGAGAGATTCAAGGCGATTTGTGTATATATAGTGCAATTCGATTAAATGTTGTGACTGACACGACTAATGGATCGTGAATCGTAATTTCTGTAGCTTACCTAACTGCTCTAAGTATCATGAATAATGCACCAACTTTTGAGTTTTTTAAGCTTGGTTTTTCCACACTTCATTTAAAATATATCTAAGCACTTCATTCATCTTTCCTTATGAAACATACGGATCTATGAGTTCGCATTGGTCAGATTTAAGCATGCGAAGTAGATTATATGCGTCCTCATTACTGTATTTTCGCCCTCAACATTCCCATAAGCACACCAAATAAATTCGTGCTCCACAGAGTCATTTTGAACATTTGATGCCATTTTCCTTGTGTCACTTAAATATGTGATTGCGTTTTTAGGCACTAACTTCAAAACATTGTCATAAAATCTTACGGTTTCTTAGACTAGTTCTGTTTACTGACTGAAATTTTAGTTAGTTATAAGTCGAGGGGTGTACTTAGTTATTTACGGTATTTCGCTATTATGAAAAATATAATGTAATTTTAAACTCACGTTTAATCTCTGATACTAAAGGTACAATCCAAATTTCCGCATCATCAAGCCAATCATGCTGGCGAAAAATCGGATCACTGTTAAACCACCTTTGTGCTGCTTCAATTGAGTCGAACTGAAGGACCCCTATAGTTTTATTTCGTTTCCAATCACCAGCTAAACATATAACCTAAAAGTTAATTTTTTACTTGATAAAAAGATTAGTTTGATACCAAGACGATTTTAATAACTTCTAGAGTAACAAAGTAATAATGTTTAAATTTCTCCTACGATAATGCAGTTGTAACGGTACATACGTATTGATTTATTTGTATTTTTCTAACGGTATAATCTCAGTATCTGTACGAATTTATCATATGAAACATTCAAACTAATTAATAATATTCAAAATTCAGTTAGCTTGCTATTTTATACTATCACTCTAAAGGATAGGTACTGCAGCCTTGCGATTATGTCAAGTATTACTAGATGGGAGAACATTCGAAGTCTGTACACAGACTCCACAAGTATGTTCTTACATATATTCATTATTAACAGTTGTTTTGTTATATTTGTATTCCATTAGTCCTGTATGACTGATGCACAAGATCCTAATCCGCTTGCATAAAAAGCAGCAATTTAAGTCATTCGGCTAATCAATCAAGAATTAACATAAGAAGAATTATTTTACATGCACTTCGTAGAAAAGACTAAAATGATGTGGTTACTTAACACGACTTTTATCTATGGCGAATAGTCCGTAGTGCTATGGCACACATTTAGGGGGACTGCCACTCATTAATATATTTATATATACAGGTCGCCTGAGATAATCGATTTTCCATACTTTACTAGAAAGTGCGTAGAGGCTAGTGGCTTGACAGAGACATCGTTTGTATTATTTCACACTGGATCATTTATATCAATATATGTCATATGTGTGTAGGGTCTTAATTAAATTAGGTGTGGTAGATTTGATATTATTGCTATTCAGTAATCTTTCTTGATCCTGACGTATTTTTATTATTCGTAAGCACATTGCATAGGTTCAGTTGGCTTTTTAAAGACTTTAATCCAAGTAATTAATGCCGTTGATTAAAAGGGTAACTTGGCATTTAAATCATTTGTGTCACGTTTAATTTATTTACTGCAAAACGTAGTTTGGTAGTGAACTTATTAGGTTGTGCTTTTAGGTGAAATCTACACAGAAGGAAGCCTTATATCGAAACTCAAAATGTACTTTTAAAAAGTGCAAATCAAAAACATCCTTGACTCTTCGAAGTAGGTTGATATCAGACCACAGGGCAATAGCTCAAGTCAATTAAAATAAAACACATAATAAGTAACTACTGTGACGGCAATCAATTACATAAAGTTAAACAAGCTTGCAGCAGCACAAGTGAAATACAATTACAAGTTGTACACATTACGGCGATGGAATGCAGTATCACCTGCATGTTTATTCTACATAAGTTTTGAAAACTAAGGAAGTAACCAAAAGTGTCGGCCGTTATTTCTTATGGATGCACGCAAACAGGCGCTTACACTGAGAAATCGCAATTTACTATCTCTGTGTCGTATAACAAGTGAATAGCAATATGCTAATATAAATATATATACCGTTCTTATTGTTGATATGGCATAGTGTTTTATAAATGTGCATAGTGTAAACAAGTCTTCTGATAGGCACTACAATAACCAAACTTTACACATTCCATACAATTATACCCTATTCACAACTTTTAAATTGGATCCTTGATCGAAGTTGATATTTACAATACTCTTAGTTCCTGTCGTCCAAATTATTAAAAATGCGCTATACTACCTAGACAGTGATATCAAAATTTCATCCATATATTTGGAAATAAATTACATGTCCCCAAAAAAGTCTTAGCCGATAAAAGATAAGGTGTTGTCTAAAGGAAGATAATTTAAATAAAATAAAGAAGGTTAACGATATCAGACGACTTTTATCGAATTTTACTCAATATCCTACGTGAAATTTTCTCAGACCACGTATTATCCTACATTTTCATTAGTCGTTGTGGTCTTTAGACTATAAGTTTTGAAAAACTGCTACACCTTTGATCCGATAACTAGCTTAGTCCTCAGTTTTTTATTCCATGTTTCTAAGAATTATTTAGACTCAACAACTTCTCTTGTGGTTCTCTATGCACGTGACACGGAAATATGAAGTGGGCTTAGAGATAACGGTCATAGGCATATATTGTAAAGAAACCACAGTAATCGGTCAGGTTTGTTCGAATAGGGAGTACTTCCCATAAAAACAGCTAAGTTAATAGGCATGTAAATATAGACGGAATGCCTGCCCTTTAATTTCACAATAAGTAACGACTCAAAATTGAATTCATAACCCTTCAAAATTTGGTAACATATTTATTAGGATTACTAGTAGTATAGTCCTCTAGCAGAGTTAAGAACTGGGAAATTGCAATCAGTCTTAGCCGAAGTAGTGAAGCACATACTTGAAAGAGTTTAAGTAATACCACACATAAACACGAACGAATAATTTCTCAGGCCTATGACAACTAATCCTATAGTAGTCAAAAAGCAGACACAATTGTCATGTTCAGGATTATGAGAAACGGCCGTGTACCTAATTTATGCCTCTGTTTCTCATCAGCTCAGAACAGAACACTACAGAAGATTAGGGTATAGAAGACAGATTACAGCCATATCATCCTGGACGACTGCATCTCGATAGCAGGATCCCACTCTCTGACAAGACACATTCAGTTAACTCCTGCAAAAGTAGCGCCAGTTTCCTCCAGTAATCTGTTTACTGAGCGAGCGGAGAAGGATAGACAATCAATGGGAAAGTACTGACGCTGGTTGAAAGTGCTTTATCCTTAATCGAAAATTCTGAATCTCATTCCACTATTCTTTGTCCCACCTAATATCTTTCCACTACCTGGTTTGGCCTTGATAAACCATGATAGTTTGAGATGTCAGATCAATGATTGCAATGTGTTTCGAAATCACTTGGAAAAGATTTATTCCTGCTGGTATTTCTCTTTTTGTGTGTTTGGAGTTAAATTATTTGACCTGAACAGCTTTAAATGAAATTTACAACCAGCACTAAGTTGCTGACTGATTTACTAATGTTTAAACGCCAACTATATAAAACATGAGATATGGCTTAAAAACTTTTTAAGTACTTCTAGGCTATTAAAATCTTTGGCATCACTTGAAAACTCGAAATACACTTCACTTAAACTGCCTGATTCTTACTTCTTCTGCAAATCCAACCGGCTGACCATTCCCATAACTTCTCATCACACTTTTCTGACGGACTATGCTATTATTGAACTTTTTACATAAAGCACCATCAAATTGAAATATAACTGCGACCGATGTAACTACTCAATATATGTATTAAGCAATAAGAAGTGATAAAATTACTTTCTGTGTTGTCGCCACTCATCTGTTCCTAATTGAAATTTTTATGCAGAGTTACTATAACATTTCATCTTAGTGCTCTTGTTAAACAAATTTCAAGATTGAAGCGTGAGAGGCAGTAATTTTACAAAAAGCTTTGCCATTAATGCATCCGTACAATTTAACTTCCGTATTCTTAGGTAATTTCTACATAGATTTCAAATCTGCTTTGGCTGCTGGCTTCACGGTACTGTGATTAAGGGAGTGATTCCTAGATCACTGCTTGTTTCTGCAATTTACGCTACTTTACTGATAAGCACATATCTCGTCCCAAGATCGAAGTTTTATTTTTCACTTCTTTTGAATTGTTTTCCCTTAACGTAGATCCTATATTCATTATGGGCGTTGATTTGCACATCAAACAAAAAATGAGAAAACCGCATGCGCTTAGGTCACTAACTCTAAGTACTGTTATGGAACTTATTGTTAATTTGGACAACCAAAATGCAAAACTTTAATATGCTATCTGTTTACAACGGACCCTGTTTTCTAACTTTCACACATGAGCTCTGAATTGTCGTTTAAGCAACACTTGTCTTTTCGGCCATTTGAACCTAGGTTACCAAGTGCTGTATTCAGATACTTGGCCAATGAGCCTTCTGCTCTTGCGATTGACTTCCTGTGGGGCTCGAATGGATACTTCGACTGGTTAAACACTGCTATCATGCGTCTATTCCGCGTTTCCTTTGCATGGTATCCATTTGGATTATGGTTACCAGATAACTTTATTCTCCATCCTCACCAAACGAGTGAGGGCAGTGTATAATACTGTCCTGGTCAAAGCCGTTCATTTCGGGAATTGGTGAGCCCAACTATCTTCTATCATAGTGGGTAACTGTTAGAGTCATGCACAGAAATGAATGGTTTCTAGCAGACTCATTACGTATTTGAACGTTCGATAATGTGCTTATTTTGCGTGGATTTATGCATATCTTAATTAGCAGATATCAACTCATTCCCCCATCTCTGCCTAATACACCGTAATTCGAATAATAATAATAAATACCGTGCATGTGATTGCATGTCCATATTGGCAGCGCGTGATAGTTGGCGACACTAAACTATTTCGTGTCACGCCTTCAGAATTCTCTCGAGAAATCAGTTTGGTTTCCACGCCTGCTGAAATAGACCTCGGTACACGAAGGAATATACGTATTCTGATATCTGGAGTACTTTCGATCATATAATTTTACTGTGAAATCCCACTGAGTTTCTTGAAACACCAGAAAACCTTCAGTGGGGTCAGTAATTCCAGTCATCATCGACAGATGATTTGTCGAATGTTGCAACTGCCATGTAACCACCTACATTAAGTCATAATCACACAACCTCTCCCCTCAGAAGTATAGCTAAAATGGCCCAACCAACGAAGAGAGATTACGTAATATATGCTTATGAGAGGAGGTATTCACATATTTGATATGAATACGTAGCTGAGAAAAATTCTGCTCACCCTTCTCTCGTTCCCTAAAAGTCTACTGTGCAGGAAATGGAACATTCGTTTGAAAATCGAAAAATGAATTATCCCGGCTTTATTGGTTCCACGAACTTCCTTGGTCTATTCCTGAAGCCAATAAACTTCGACAAAGGCATAAGTTCCCGTTCACACCATGTTTTCGCATGCATGTGAGTAAATGGCGTGCCTGACTGTTCGAACGGTGAATAGCATATCACATTGTCAGCCTTAGTAGTATTTCATGGGATTTTCAAATTTGGTGTTTTCGTTGACTTTGAGTAGACTTAGCACTAATATTTTTATACAGTACCAAACCGGACTATAAAGTGTGTTCAATAAGTCTTCAGAAGTAGACAGATCTGACTTGGGTAGATTGTATTATTTCACATACACTGAGCGGTTTTCGCTAAGGTGGAAGATATATTGTAACGCTGATTTAGATGGAAATCCTTTTAGTAAGAATATGAGGACCGAGGGAGGCTATCAAGGAACTTGACTCTAAGTTCATATTATTTGCGAAGGCGCTCCGAATCGATAACTTCTACTATCAGTAATCTACTTTAAATCCAGAACACCAGTATTTGTAGGAACTTATATATTTCGGTAATTAAAATAGAAACTGATATAGAAGTCTATAAACAAATGTTTTTAATGAATGGACAAGTACTTTAGTTCGTTTTCTTTCGTCTTCTTGCAACTTGTACACGACTGAATCACCCGTGCCTTTGAGCTGCCCGCCAATGGCCGCCAAGGTTATTGAAATAACGTCCAATGTTCATCTTCGTTCACACTTCCCTGCAAAAAAGTATCCATCCCTTCTTTCCGTCTTGTCGATAACCTTGAACTAAACTGCCAACGCAGGAACCCGGAACAACCGGGACTAGGCTAAATGGAAAAGCAAGACAAATAAGCCTAACACAACAAGCATAACACATCACACCAGTGCGCTCTCCCTGGCGTGTGGGATCTTCCTCAGTGATCGGAACTGTCCTTCGCTCTCTGTCGACAGTATTACCACTGATCTGGTCCACGGGTGTTGCTTGCTTCATATCACTCTGGCACAATCCCCTCCCCGGCGCATCAAATCACATACACCGACTCTAACACTACTCTATACGTTCACAAGTTTAGAAGACTGGAAACGACTTCAGAAGTACTTACAATAACATTACAAGATGATTCACACAATGCGACAACTATAAAATTAGCCAACATTTGGATGAGCTGGAACGCACTCAATTACTCAACACAAATATATGTACAATCAATACATCAATTGCTGTGGATTCCGCCTCGACGAACTACACTTCAAGAACTGTGGGACTTACAGCAGTACGCCTACAACCCTTCTCAGGTTGACGCCCTATGTTAGAAAATCGTCTCAGAGTTCATTTGCGAACCTGCTTCCATCACCTTTATCCCCAACTTTGAACGGTAATGCGCTCATGTCGCTGTATCGTAGAATATAGATGACCAACAAACATACGACGTATCTGACCAACCAAGCTTAGGTACAGAGTAGTTTACACCAAAGATATTAGCTTTCAAGTAGTGACTTGAAACTTGAAATGCCTTTATTCTCGCAAGTCAGTTTAACAATTACCCTCTAATACACAGTTGGCGTATCCTCCCCAAAGTGACCACTGACCTTCGTCCTTTCAAACAAACCTATACGAGCATAGTCATAGCACAAGACACTTGGGTTCATGGACGTCTCTGTCATGGTGGATGAAAACACCAACGACAACTAAGTCATACAAATTGATGAACCCAGTGGTGCATTAGCTGTCGTTGTTTGGCTTTTAGAAGGTTGTCGAAATGTAGGATTACCACCACTGCCATCTTTCATAATTAGCTCCAGTTGAGCCTTAACATCTATCGATAGGTGGGCTACACGTTGATCATTTACACTGACGATCTCATGAGTAACCATACCTTCTGCAACCGTATCTGCCATTAAGTCTAATTCGCGGTCAAGTTGTACAGAACCTTTGTTCAACTCAGCAGTAGTAGGCATTCCCTTCATCTCACCATGATCAGTCAAAGACAAAAGTGCACTACCATGATCATTATCACAAATATCCACTTTACCGCCTTTAATATGACTGACTTCATCATTGTCAAACTCTTTAATAACAGAAGTAAATGATTTGGGTTCTTCCTCATAAATCCTTTAAGGTTTTATACCTTTACTCTGACTAGTAACACCTTGAAAACTTGTGAAGTCAGAACTAGACTCTGATACAGTAACTCCCTTCTTCTGAACAAACTGCGGTGTCCTCTGTGACACTCTATTCAACAATGGCTTACTAGTTGCAACTACAGGCGTCTTCACTGAACGAATATTGACACACAATTCGTAGTCAGAACTTGATGACGCTGATTTCACATTTATCTTACCACTAAACACGCTCACTTCTTCACAATTCGCCTTTGTATGCACTTCCTGCAAACGGACGAAGCACGACCGTGTTTGTCTCGCAACTTGTAACCTATCTGTTGGCGATGTCCCACGGAGGCTGTTTATATGGATTACTAGGCACTATAGAGTTATCTCGATATCAACTTCTCTGAGACCCTTTCGTCAAAAATGATTGCGTTTTGCCCTAACACGTCTCTATTCTAGGGGTGGGATGCAATATATTGGCAAACTTGCTCATAGATTGATTCACACCATATTTTACCAGTTTCAGAATATCTTTTGCGTGTTTAAGAATATTATCGAACTTTTGCTCAATACCCTCATCCCCTATACGAGAGCTTATCTTCACCCACTTCCTCTGCAGTCGAGTAGGTAGGCGTCTCGCTATTACCTCTAGGACGGAACTTGAGTTCATGTCGCTCATGCAATTCATCGAAATCAACGTATTCTTTTAAGTCATCAGATTATCCAAAATCTCAGAGAGTGCCTTCGAGTCATCCTGTAATTGACTACCATTACCTTTAACAGCCTCGAATAATTTCCTTACAATCATCGAAAGTCTTCGAATCTCTGACTCAGTATACTCATAGCCTTAGAGTGTCATATGTTAGTAGGGCATGAACTTACAGCACTGTATAGCACTTGAAGCAACTCCAGTGCAGTACCTCAGTAAATACATTAACTTCATTTCATCATTTTATAAAAAACTACTCAACATGATCTCACACTTCTTTACAAACTGTGGATAGTCAGCTGGGTCTCCGTCGAAACACCGAGGTTCATATTTAAGCATTTTAAAATTCCTATTGTCCCTAGACGGCGAAACATGGACATGAATCTTATCACGCTTAACACCACACACGTCATTGCTATAACACGTAACTAAGCATTGCTTACTTTCCTGCCTGCTACCATGACGCTTTGTCCCTTCTTTGACCCAGGCATTACTTAACTTGACCA